AGAAAGTCAAATTATAGGAAACTGGAAAGAAAAAAACAAGCAATGAAAAGAAAGAAAGAAAGAAAGAAAAAAAGAAAGAAAGAAAGAAAGAAAGAAAGAAAAGGCGGAAACGAGAAAGTCAAATTATAGGAAACTGGAAATAAATAAACAAGCAATGAAAAGAAAGAAAGAAAAGAAAGAAAGAAAGAAAAAAAAGGCGGAAACGAGAAAGTAAAATTATAGGAAACTGGAAATAAATAAACAAATAATGAAAAAAGAAAGAAAGAAAGAAAGAAAGAAAGAAAGGCAGAAAGAAAGAAAAATGAATGAAAGAAAAGAAAAAAAGAACGAGAAAGAAAGAAAGAAAGAAAAGAAAAAACGAGAAAAAAAGAAAACGAGAGAAAAGAAAGAAAAGAAAATAAAGTAATATAGAAATAAAGGATAAATTGTAAAAAAAAAAGAAAAAAAGGAAATGAAAGAAAGAAAAAGCTGAAAAACACGAACAAAACAAAAAAAATCTACGAAGAAAATAGAAAAAAATAAAGAAATAAAAAATGAAACCAGAAATAAATTTATTTTATTTCTAAAGTAAAAGATGGAAAGAAAGAAAACGAATTAAATTAGGAAGAGGTGGAAAGTGCTTCACTGAATTGAAAGATGAGAAGGAATCTAAAAAGGCGAAAGAGACAGGTAACTAAAGAAAGAAAGAAGGAAAAGAAGAAAAAAGAAAGAAAAAAGGAAGGAAGAAAGAAAAATAATTGAAAAATAGAAAAGAAAGAAATAACTTATGTGAAAGAAAGAACCTATAAAAGTAAAAGTAAGTAGAAACAAAGAAATGAATTAAAATGGCAGAAAAATGAAAAAAATGAAATGACGAGAAAAAAGTACATAATGAATGAATAACTGCTGAGAATGAAAGAAAAAAGTTAAATAGATTTATGAAAGAAAATGGTAAGAACAAAATAACTGGAAAGGAAAAAAGAATGAAAAAATGAAATAACAACGAAGAAAGAACGAGTGAATGAGGTAGAAATAAAGAAGTTAAATAACTTGTATGAAAGAAAAAAGAAAGAAAGAATGAATGATAAACATGGAACAACTACAAAGAAAGAAAAAAACGAAGGAAGAAAGATAGAAAATTAAATAAATTCATGAAAGAAGGCATGAATAAATGAGGAAGAAGAAAAGAAAGAAAATATCCGCAATGAACAAAGAGGTAAAGAAAAATTAAATAAATTTATGAAAGAAAGAATAAATGAACTAGAAAGAAAGAAAAAAGAAAGAGAGAGAAAAAATAGGTGTAAAGAAAGAAATAAAGAAAAAAGAAAGAAAGAAAGGAAGAAGAAAGAAAGAAAGAAAGAACGAAACAACGAAAGAAAGATAGAAAATAGTTGTAAAGAAAGAAATAAAATAACTAGAAAGAAAAAAAGAAAAAGAAAGAAAGTAACTCTAAAGAAAGAAAGAATGAAAGAAAATAACTGTAAAGAACGAAAGAAAGAAAAAGAAAGAAGGAAAAAAGGAAGAAAATAATCGTAAATAAAGAAAGAAAATAACTGTAAAAAAAGAAAGAAAGAAAGAAAGAAACGATGGAAAATAACTGCTAAGAAAGAAATAAAATAACTGAAAAAAATAAATAAATAAAAAGAAAGAAAGAAAGGAAGAAAACCGTAAATAAATAAAGAAAGAAAGAAAAAAAAGAAAGAAAGAAAGAAAGGGTGGAAAATAACTGCCAAGAAAGAAATAACTAAAAAGAAAGAAAGAAAGAAAGAAAGAAAGAATGGAAGAAAATAACTGTAAAGAAAGAAATAAAGAAAGAAAGAAAAAAGAAAGAAATAAAGAAAGAAGAAAGAAAGGGTGGAAAATAACTGCTAAGAAAGAAATAAAATAACTGAAAATAAATAAATAAATAAAAAGGAAGGAAGGAAGGAAGGAATGAAAGAAGAAAATAATCGTAAATAAAGAAAGAAAAAAGAAAGAAAATAACTGTTAAAAAAGAAAGAAAGAAAGAAAATAACTGTAAAGAAAGAAAGAAAGAAAGAAAGAAGGAAGGAAATAAAGAAGAAAGAAAGAAAGAAGAAAAGAAAAAAAGGAAGAAAATAACCGTAAATCAAGAAAGAAAGAAAGAAGAAAATAACCGTAAATCAAGAAAGAAAGAAAGAAAGAAGAAAATAACCGTAAATCAAGAAAGAAAGAAAGAAAGAAAGAAAGAAAGAAAGAAAGAACCTATAAAACTCAAAATATCTATGCATTTTATTCAGATCGCCTTTATTCGTTGTCTGCTTGATTTCTACAACAAAACGACAATCCCGGCGATCTGGCTGGCTTGATGCGACTCACATTTCATTCAGTCACCATGAATTGTCGTCACGGCGGTGAGAGTCGAATTGCAGTGGTTTGGGGTCGATAAATGCGTCACATTTGCATTCTTACGAGCGGGAAGAAATTTTAGTGTCTTTTTTTTTCTTCTTCTTCTTTTTTTAGTTAACAAAAGAGAGACAAGCCTTACCCCCTGCGCCGTCAT